GGCTCTCGGACAGCTCTTGGGCCCGGCCTTCTGAGCCCGCAGCCGCCTCTGCCTACGGCCGGGCCCAGCCTCTGGCTTTTAAAGCCCAGAAGCTGGGGGAGGGGGAAAGAGGGGAGGGGAGAGAGACCGGCGGAAATGGCTGCTCTGGGCTGAGTCCCGGACAGAGTCTCCTGGGAGGGGTCCTGGGGATGCCTCGGTCTCCATGTGTGAGGAATTCCCCCACGCGGCTCGGGAAACGATGGCCCAGCGGTCGGCGGCATTGTCGGGTGTATGGGGATAGGTGGACAGGCTTGGGACCCATGCGTCCCAGACTTTAGGTCGTTTGGGGAGGAACGCAGGGCGGGCTCCAGTCGAGTCCGGCCTGCCTCGCTTGGGGCCTGTAGGCGCGGGATCTGCGGGGGCGGGTGGGGGAGGCGGGAGACGAAGGAGCGAATGCTGAGGCAGCGAAAGCGCAGTGTGGAAGCGCTGCATGCGCCCTGTGCCGCAGTGTGTCCTGCCACTCGGTCACCCGGGCCGACCCCGTGCCCGCTGGAGGGGCCTCCCAGCCCCCCTTCCTTTTCCCTTGGGGCGGACGTGGAGTGCAGCAGCGTGTCAGCGAGTAGAGTGTGGAGAGGGAGAGGGGCTGCCATGCCCCAACTCCAGAAATTCCGCTTCATTGGCGGTTTTCCACCCTTCCGCGCGGCTGCAGCTCCCCCCGGCGGCCCCGCAACCAGGCGGATAACCCTTCCCGCGGCCGCCCGCCTAGAGTTTGCAGCCCCCATGACGTCAGGCTCAGCGGCCAATGGCGGGGCGCCGGGGCGAGGGGGCTCCGGGGCTCCCGGCCGCACAATGGCCGCACTCGGATACATATGTCCCCAATTAGGGCCCGGCGCCGCCATTGTCCCCTCACTCGCCCCCGCCCGGTCGTTCGGGTCTCCATGCTCCAAGTGCGCCCCCATGCGGCCTGCTGTCGTTGCGGACCAAGGTCGCGGGGGTGGCTCTAGGGAGTGTCCGGGTGCAGCTATGCCGGGCACGCGTACGAGGCGGGGACGCGCGCGCAGGTTGCGGCGCTCTGTGACCTTGTGCGGGGCTGCGCCGCGGACAGCGGCCGGGAGCGCGCGGCGGCGGGCCCTGCGGGAAACGCCGCGCCGGTGGCGCGCTTACGGGGTCGCGCTGGGAGTGCTGAGCTCAGCGCCCCCGCCTCAGTCTACCCAGCCACCCGCTGCCTCCCGCCTCCCGGCCCCGCGCGGAGCCAGGGTGGGTGTGACCGAGTCGGCCGGGCGCGGGGTGCGCAGCAGAGACCACGGACCTGCTTTGTGCCAGCGGCTCCGTCCCAGGCAACGGTGGGACATTCATCTTGCGTGGCAGGCGCTCCCGAGGGGCGGGGGCGGGGTGCGGCCGCCCCCTTATCGCCGAGCAGCAGCCGGCGAGGCTTGCGGTGGGGGCGGGGGCGGGGATCCCCCTCAGCTGAGCCGCTTGTCCAGGCTCCCTCCCAGGGGGGCCGGGCCGAGGCACAGCCGGAGGCGCGGAGCCAATTAACATTTTGATTGCGGGACTGGGGGGCTCATCTGGACCGAAGCCTAATTACCGGGTGGACCCTCGGGGCGCCGGCGGGACGTGCCGGGCGCGATCCCCTCACCCGGCGTTCACCGCCTCCTCCTGGATGCTCTGTCCCTGCCCCCAGTTCTCTGCCTTTCCGACTCCATCCCCGTCCCCCTCCACTCGTCCCAGCCATTCTGTCGCTCTGTTCCCATACTTTGATTCCTTCGGCTCCCAACTCTCAGTCTCCTTCCTTCATTCTTCCACTCCTCTGCCCCACTCCCCGGTCTCCATCCTTTGTCCCTCCTACTTCATGTCTTTCCCCTGTCCCATTCCTCTATCGCCCTTCATTCATTCCTTGTTTCCTCATCCCTCTATTCGCCCTCTCAGTCCCTTTATTCCCTGTCTCTCTGTCCACATACTTGGCCTCTCTCTGTCAATCCTCACGACTTTTTGGCCCCCAACCCTCTTGACGGACGAGGCGTCAAGGTGGAACACATGTGTCTGGCTTCCAGGCGCTCCCGAGGGGACCATTGGGGCGGCCCTTGCTCCCGCTCGGGTGAGTCCACAAGCCCCCGGGACGCCCGGCGGGGAGGGGCAGCTGGGTCCAAGCCTTGGCCATCAGTGCGCACCGACCCGGGTGCTGTGCGCACATGAGGCCCCATGCAATTACTTGGACCTTCTCGCCCCGCCCCACTTAGAGAATCTGACCGTGCCTGCTCCACCTCACCACCAGCATCCCTAGATCACTGTGGGCCCCAGACCCAGAACCAGCTTGGAGAAGCTAGGAAGGACAGTTGATGATTCTCGCGCTTTTGGAAAAGTTTCAGCCCTCCACTGGAGACACCTTTAGTCTCTCTTACTGAGAGCTGGGGCTTTAGGGAGATTTTGTTGCAGGAAAGGAGATGGTCAGGGTCCTCAGTTAAGGTCACATTGGCCCTCAGCCAGTGGAAGTTCCAGGCCCCCTAGCCACTCCTTGCAGAGTCTCCCTGTGGGGGATCTCTTCCTGCTGCCCTGAATTAAGTTGCAGCTCTACCTAGCCCTTTATTCCTTCTGAGTTAAGGATATAAGAGTATAATGTTGATTCTGTGACCCTGTTTCCCTCTGCTTCTGGCTGCACCACTCCTTGCCCTGTCCAGGTCCCATGTTGCAGAAAAGACAGTTTTAAGGGGGGGCTCCCACTGTTATGTTCCTGGCATTGCCAACCTCAGCAAAGCCAGAGCCCCTGACTCTGTCCCTACAGTCACATCCTCACCTCCCCCACCCCCACTCCAACCAGGAACTCAATGGACAGCCTAGCCTGGAAGGGTCCACCCCTCCTACTGGACAGAAAGATGATGGGCAGAAAATAGGGTGTTGAGTTGAGGTGAGGGAGTAGTTATTGGTGGTGACAGGTCCAAGGTACAGTTAGAGCAGAGGACAAGGACATGAGCATGAAGAAGATGTCAAGACTCTGAGGGGGCAGGTAGTTGAAGAATCATCCACTAGAACATTAACACCACTAGAAACTTAGACAGCAATGGGTGGGGTGACACTGGCCGACAGCCAAGGCTGGTGCTAGGTGGTTAGTGCTACAATAACAATGATGCATCCTCCAGCTGGTTATTTCATGGAGGGTGGGGAGAGAGGTCTGCAGACCTCAGCCAGGAGCATGGGGAGGGGGAAGGTGTCCCACCTCCATGCCAGAGGCCTAAGAGGGAAGAGAGAAAGAAGACCCCTAGAGAGGGCTGCCTGGGAGAGAACAATATGGAAGGAGCCATGTCCCTTCAGCAAGAAGGACACAGTGGTCACTGGTGACCAAGCTCCAAGAGAGGGTTTCCAGATGGGGGATCTGTATTCCAAAACAGTTTTGTGTGCTTGGAAGGGCCCATGGGGACAAGGGCATGAGAAGCAGGCCAAACAGGCCTGGGGCAGACATGGTGCCTACTGGGGCAGGAGCTCTGGAGGAGCCACAGTGAGAGGCTGACCACAACTAAAAGTGTGCATGAGGAAGACAGTGGGTGTGGTGGCTTATACTTGTAATACAACACTTTGGGAGGCTGAAGTGGGAGGATCTCTTAAAACCAGGAATTTGAGACCAACCTGGACAACAAAGCAAGATCCCATCTCTACAAAAAGAAAGAAAGAAAGAAAAAGACAAGCAGAAACAAAGAGCAAACATCAAAGTAGTAGACAATGTTGCTGGGTGCAGTGGCTCACACCTATAATCCCAGCACTTTGGGAGGCAGAGGCAAGAGGATTGCCTGAGGACATGGGTTCGAGGCCAGCCTGGGCAGCATGGCAAGACCTCGTCTCTACAATAAATCAAAAAATTAGCCAGACATGGTGGTGCGTGCCTGTTGTTCCAGAGACTTGGAAAGCTGGAGCAGAAGGATCACCTGAACCCAGCAGGTCGAGGCTGCGGTGGCCATGAGCATGCCACTGCACTCCAGCCTGAGTGACAGAGTGAGGCTTTGACTCCAAAAAGAAAAAAAAAGAAAGAAAAAAATATTTGCATTAAGTATAACAAGAGGTTGATATTCTGATTATAGAAATAATTAACTGGTACAGATGAACTTTTTACAGAACTAAACCTCAAAGGGGTTGCTAAACCCCAAAGGGGTTAACAGGTGATTCACTACACAAGAAATAAGAGGTCTTATTAGGAATCAGAGACATGCAAATTTTAGAGTTTTTTCTTATTATAGAAAATATCATATATGCACAAAAGTAGAACCAGATAATGAGGGTTCCCCATATGCCCATCACCACCTTCACCAGAGACCAGCTCATGAGTAGTCTTATTTCCTCTCTGACCCCACTCCCTCCTCCTTGTCATTTTGAAGTAAATTCCAGACATCCTACCACACAATGTCATTTTTCTCTTAACAAAGACAAGGCCAGGTTCAGTGAGTCATGCTTGTAATCCCAGCACTTTGGGAGGCCAAGGTAAGAGGACTACTTGAGGCTAGGAGTTTAAGACC